TGGTGGAAACATTTGTGCCCCAATTTCCCCGTTTCCAAAAAAATCTATTTTTTTTTCACTTGCTTGTACAGTCACTCGACGGGAACTATTCGAGCTCTTGCGTGAGTGTGAACTCTCTCATGCAACAGATTTACATAATATAAAAATGCTAATGCAGTATGTTTCCCGTAATGTTCTTGTAAGTATTCCAGAGGCAGTATTATGTGAGAAGACACGGAGATTCACTTGCCGAATTGCTGACAAATGGAAGGCTTTGTAACAGAATTGTAGACAGATTCGCGACATGGAACGCAGCATAATTGGGCGACGAAATGTTGTGTGTCAAGGAAGAAGCGCATTAAACGACGAAAGGTAGACATGAAAAAGAATTATCTTCATGTTCGAAGAGAACAAAAAGACTAAAAATACAGCGAGATTTTACAGACACATTAAATTCGAATTTGTGAAGGTGACACCACATAGGACAAATGCAGAAGTTTCAAGCAACAAAATTGAATATTGGAGGTACAGATATCTCTGCATATCACAAATTAAAGAAATATATACGAGAAAAGTGTGTAATTCACTAATTTTAAAGCCTCCTCTCAGAAGTTCTATATTTATTATGCATCTCCAAAGCAAATGAACAATCTGAAAGAAATTATTTTAAAAATCTTGCTGTAAGGAAGCTTTTTATCTTGGTCTTTCATACTCAAATTCGTTTCTTCGAGGTCCTTCTTCACATTTCTTATAGACTATATTTTATAAAATGGCGGGTTCGTGGATATGAAGAAAAGATACTGTAAGATCCCAGAAAAATGCAAATAAGTGTGAAATTTCGAAAGAAATTGGGACTCTTTATGCACATACCAAAACAAGGAAGTGGTACATCGAAAGATGGGAACACTTTTTAGCCATTTTTCCAAAATCTGGAGCAAAATACTAACATCACTTGGATAGATGTAAGTCTCATTTGCCGCTTCTCTGTTGTTTTACAAGCATTGAGAAGCGGATATGATGTGACTACAAGAGCTTTCAGAAAAAAAAAAAAAAAAAAAAAAAAAAAAAAAAAAAAAAAAAAAAAAAAAAAAAAAAAAACGTAGTTGAAACAGAAAACGTTAGTCAATTTATTCGGACGGCTACTTCACGCTTGTAACAGAACACAAAATATTAATTCATGGCACTCATATCATTAATGAAATAATTGCCCCAATAGGACAACTGACCGAAGACACGCAGGAAGCCCGACACAAAGACTTCAAGTCATATCGAGAAAGAAATACTCGAAAATCATGTAGAATACGTGGCAATGAAGATCTGCTTCATTTCCTATTGATTTCTTCTGACTCAGTAATGACAAGCATCTGGCCACTATAGAGTAAGGAAACTGAACAGCTGCCAACGGATATTTTGAAGTTGAGTGTGTTCCTGGAGGTGATGTGCCATGTGAAAGTAGAATAGCAGATTCAGAGAGCGATTAATATCTACTATTGTATCTTTTCTTTCTTATTATTCTTTATAATTTTTATTTGCACTGTTAGCTATGAATTAGAATCAGAATATTTCATTTTGAGTTTGTCACATGAACCTTTAGTAGGAGTAGGCAATTGCATGCAGTATCTCTTAAGTAGTTCCAACATTGATAACCTGGCAATCCTTATCAAGACTCGAGGGCAATGAATTTATTGTATTATTATATTTCGCCCCTACATTACAATATAATGGTAAATAACACAAGGAATAATTCTGATCATTTTCAACACCGTCGGCTTTGCCGTTCTCTTGATAATATTTTAATACCGCTAGATGAAGAAAATCAACCACCGTGCGCCGCTATCTTAAAGTCGACACCGCGGAGGAGTCACGCCTCTAGCACCCCCAGGAGAATTTGTCACTTCTTTGTCGGAACCATTTCAGTTGGATATAAAAATGCACCCATGAAAAAACGAGACATAGTTGAGGATTTCAAGAGTGAACTAGGCATAGAAAATTGAGGAAATATAAAGTGCACGCGATATGTAGAACTTTATAGTGATTTTTCTTGTCAGGGGTAAGTATTGATTCATTGAGGAACTTATGCTATAGAGGGGATGGAAAATCGGAGAAATTGAATTTAACAATATCCATCGGGCGTAAATTATGAGTGAATGGTCTGGAAATAGGAAGGGGACATCATGCAGGTTTAAAATAAAGACATGCAATTGGAGACTTAAGATTCATATCCGGTGGCAAGAAACTGCGATTTATTTGTGAGGAAACTGTTTCCTCATTAATGGTGGTGAGAGATTGATAATCAATGTGTTTTGTAATTAATGTGTTCAATCATTTTGGAGGGTAATAGTGGTGAATTTTCATGCAAGATGATTGCCTTTATGGTATCAAGCGATCATTTGATTTTGCAGTTTTAGATTGTTTTGTTGTTCAGTACGACTTCAATTTGAGGTATTAGACGGCATTATGTGGATAACATTATCATTGTTTTGTTATGTTTTTTGTTGTTTTGGAGGGGCATATGAAGCCATATGAATTCCTTGCATTAAGGCAATACGGCAAATGTGAGACATTTGTGCTGGCGACTGGAAGATGGATACTCGTGTAAATGAAATGTCTCATTAAATTTCGTTTGTTTCAACAATGCACTTGGTTTTCTATTCGTTGGAAGTACGTCAGACAACGCAGAAACGAATCTTGCTCTTAGTCCTCGATTTCCCGTTATGGAAATCACCAAATAACTTTGCATCCTCTAGTTGACGATACACGGATGGTGCGACCCGTGCTGCCGCCCACCCCTCGGATTCTAGCCACACCACGTGTTAGAGGATCTTTTTTCTCTAAATTTAGTAACATGATTTATCCACTGTTTTGTTACCAGAGCTAGCCAATAAGAGTTTTTCTGGCGAATATTTGCCGTTTTCTGGCGAACGATTTATGAGAATTAATAATAAGAAATTCGGAACCATTAGGGATATCTCAAGTCGGTCTCATGGATGTATTCATTAGTTTACTTAAATCGGTTCATACATATATACACATATATACACAGGTGTTTGTGAATGTGTGTGTGCACATATTTGTATTTGAGCGAATGGTTGTTTAGAAATTGATGTGTTTCTGTAACGATTTTTTCCACTCAAGCACTTGAAATTTATAATAGAATATGATGTTACCAGGGGCGGATCCAGAGACGAATATTGGGAGGGGAAATTCAAAATGTTTTCGTCGAATGTCATATTACAGATTTTGTAAAAATGTCGCTGTCTACACTCAACTCATGCTGCTATACTTTTATTTGTTTTAATGATACTCCAAAAATATTTTTACTTGAAAGTCTCATGACAAGTTAAAATTAATAGTTATTGAAAACTTTTAGGGGGGGGGGATTTCCCTCCCCGTGGATCCGCGCCTGTTGTCATAGATGTCAAAATAGCGCAATAGCAGGTATTTGAGTGACAAAAGTTCGAATGGAAAATCACTGCAACAGTGAAAAAATACGTTACAAAACACATTAATTTCTAAAAAACGATTCCCTCAAATACAAAGATGTACGCATATTCGAAATTGTCTTCTTAAGCCCATTACAATACACTAAAATTTAGTATAGGGTTTCATTAAAAAATTGACCTGTATCTTCGTAGCAAAAAATTATGCGAAATCGAAGTATGCTGTAACCAGAGAGTATATGGCTGTAACCAAGTAGCCCCTGTTAATGCAATCGGCTGCCCATGGTCGAAATACCACCATGCGTCTGTCCAACCGACATTTTCATATCTTGCATGGTCGAGGAACAAGGGTAGTTGCTCCACTTTTGTAACACTTCATAGTCAATTAAATTTGGTTGTTAACAAATTATATCAATATAATATAATTATCATCACAACTTGAGAAAACAAATGACTATAAAAAGCTTGTTTTTTTTATTTTGTAATGTTTTCAATAGCGTGGCTCGTTGGTCTAGGGGTATGATTCTCGCTTAGGGTGCGAGAGGTCCCGGGTTCAAATCCCGGACGAGCCCTTCATTTTGTCTCTCTTTTTACCAACTGAAGGGTGATTGTGAAAGTTAAATTACCAATAATCATTTTCTCTGCTAATTTAGAGAACTTACATCATTTTATTCTGCTGGATATGTGCATGAAATTCTCTGCTTCAACGTCACAAGTAATATGTAGGGTAGTATTCCGTTGAAAAATATGATTTAATAGAATACCAAAAAATAAGTTTTACTTTATTGCAACTTCATCGCATTCGATTAGTAAATTTGTTGTAATAAAATTGATTATATGCGTGTTCTCATCAGGCAATGCCTCACATTAGAAGCGTTGCTTAAGGAATTCGCTTCCCAGGAACAAAACGTCGCGCTCTCTGTGGAGAGAATATGTAAGTGTTAGTGGCTGTATTTAGAACTTCCTTTTTCACAGAAAAGCCATTGGCTTGGAGATACGTGAGCGTAGCGACTCTGGTAGCTTTGCAGCAAACTATGGAGAGTGCTTCAAGCATTTGATGAGTGAAAAGAGCGGGAATAAGTTGGTCGATTTGGTTGCGTTATGAAGCATTGTAGTCAATTCGAACGATAGCACCGGCTGCGTTAAATCGGGCCCCGGACCATATTTTCATTCAAAATAAATAAACGTCGTTCTAAATCAAATTAACCTCTACACGTTTCTACGATGGATTCATTTGGGGTCGTACGTGAGTTGGGGCGGAACTTTTCTTCGAAATAAGTATTAGCTCCGAATGATGTAGATGCCCTTAGGCCTCATGTTATGGGTGCCCCTGATTGTAAGGAAAATAGTAAAGGTTGAGCATATCATGTAGACCACTCTTCAAATTACCAAGTTAGTTCTAAGGGAAAGTAATATTTATAAAAAGAATACAAATACATGTCAGCATAATACTAAGCAAGCAAATTATCTATCAATTATGCATGTGTATTAATCAACAAGACTGCCAAAAAGAGATGTACTACTAACACCGACTACATGTAAGCGACTCTGACAGTTCTCTCGCCACGTGCTGTGGTGTATGCCCGTTCTGTGGCAATCGGCTTGCGCCGATTTGTTTACTTTCTCACAACCAGCATTCAGCATTGCCGCTCATCTCACCTACACGAATTCGGGGCTTCGGCTTTGGCGAAACTTATGGACATAGTACCAAGACGTGACGTCGTCTGTCAGCAAGTGTTCAGGTGAGATTTAATTTATCAGTCAGGTATGTGGTGCCATGAGCGTAGTAATGTGTGTCAACAGCGCATCGGACTGTCAGTCGCTTATACCTTGCCGGTACTGTAGTATACTAATACATAGGGCAATGCCTCTATAAGATCTCTTACAGGTTAATGAATGTTAACGTAATAAAAAAATAATAAACTAACGAATGATTTTTTCTTAAATAACTCTTCAGCGTTAATCAGTACTGTACCATAATTACTAGTAGGTCATATGGATACTTCACTAGGAGAAATAAACACCAGAGGATATTACAAGATGCTAATTAACAATTAAATTTACATTCTATTACATTATTTGTTCATAATTTATAATGTTAAGTGTTAATTACTGTAATAAGGCACTACTTAATGCAATTTATTTACTAGATACGTAAATGTATCTATAGCAATATTTAAAGTTAAGTAATATAATATGAAATATAAAATAGTCCTGTTTGTAATAACTACAATCTCACAATTAAAATACTAAATATATTAAGTATAAAAATGTGAATTTATTTATGCAAGTAATTGTAAGGGTAAACAAAGAACAATCATATTTATGAAATAATTGTGAACTTCATAAAATAGCCCTAACATACAAATTGAAACAAAAAATACAATCTTGACAAATAAGACTACAACCACGGCAAAGAAATGAGGAGCATTAAAATTATTATAGATGGAAAAATAATAGAACAAGTATCAATATTTATGTATCTAGGAAACATCATTGGACAAAATTCTAAAGATCAAGAAAGAAAAATTCAAAAATATAATGGGGTAAATGGAATAATCACGAAAAACTTTGGAAACGATATGGCAGCAGAGACAAAACTTAAGTATACACAACATAACATCTAATCCAATGTCAATGAGTGGATCAGAAATAGGGACACTAAAACAAAGAGACTATCAGAGATTAGAAGCCACTCAAATGACACTTTTCCGGCACCTGGTAAGAATTAAACGTTTAGATCGACAAAAAACAACACTGAAATCAGAAGGGAAAAAACAGAGCAAAAGATATAGTGGATGACATTAAAGAGAACCAGAGGTCATGGCTTTCACATGTGTGAAGAATGCAAGTGGAAATATTTCCTAAAGCAGTTTTAAAATATAAACCCATAGGGCGAAGAACTATAGGAAGACAAACAAAAGATGGATTGCTCAGGAACATCTGGAGGAATAATCAGCAGATCTTGTCTTTTAACAGGTACACACACCAAACCTATTATCCTGCTCTGTATGAAGTAATTATTTTAAAATAATGTATTGCTTCAGCAAATTGACTTGTCATAGATTGTTTGAAAAATCACCATTATTATGAAACAATGATCCAGAACAACAATATTTTGACAAAGTATCAAAAATAAATAAATTAATATTAAATATATACCTTGTAAAAACAAAATAAAATTGAGGTTGTCTTAAGATATTGTATTATAAAAGCATAAAAATACAAACAAGTTCGTAAAATAAAGGAATATAAGAAGAAATAAATGAGACAATCAAGATTCAAATTTCATTTTGATTTTTAATATTATTTTGTCACTGAGCTGTAAAAATAAAAAAAGACGCATAGAAAAGTACAATCTGTACATGTTTTCATGAGCTCTGGAATCTCCCACATTTTAACCATAATTAGTTGAATAATGAATAATAGTGCCAACAAAGCGAGATTAGAAACATTTGACCTTGGACATTTTTGCTTCTGAGTTATAGAAAACTTTTTTGCATAAGCAAACGACCTATATATTTGAGTTGTTAGTATGTCTAAGGTGCTACAGAATGGCACAGACTTTCCCTGTATTAGTTTTCTATTTCCTTTGGACTCTGTTAGCTATATGGACTTGCCACATACTCTTGTCCGCTAATATCTATCCCCGCCCAAAGTACATTTGTTTAAACATTTTCTTACTGCTTCGGTTTCCTAATAGTAGAACAGAAATATTATTTTTAGAATATTAAAAGACAGTAAAACCTCGTCCTAAATGGCCATATCCTTCAAAAAATTTGGAGACGCTTACACAATTTATTCTGTTAGCTATGCTTGTCTTTGACCATTAACTCCCCTCAAGGATTTTCCAGTTTGATGCTTACTCATTTCACAGCTTCAGGCACCAGGGGCAGATCCATCAAAAATTAGGGGCGGGGAGGGTCATCTTGGACTCTAGAAAATATTCTCGAGTTTTTGGTACGTGTTAGGTTGAAATAATGTAAAATTATATTCATAATACAAAAAATGCTTTGAATGTCATGAGATCTATGTATGGTAATTACTTTTGATAAACTGAATAAAACTACAAACATTCTTGGCTTGTGTGTTTGTAACCTTGTGACCTTGTGTGTGGGAGTTACATGGCTCTATGCTGTCCCCCCCCCTCCCAATACTATCAGTCATTTTTTCACCCATTCCTAAAAAATGTAATGAACACTTCACAAGAATTAGCAACCTAAGAAGTTGTCAAATGACTGCTCTTAATTGTGTTTTTTTGATTCATCAGTGTTCTTGACTGAAAATTAAACTGCTAATTCTTATACTGACATCAGATTTGAATCAAGGGGATTTTTCTTACTGAGGCACGTTCTTCCATAACGTTTTGAAAAAACATTCATTGTGACACTTTTGACAGTAATAATTTCTTTCCAAAGACCATTAAGTGCAAATACAGCCCGACCAATGGACATGTTTAAGAGAAAAATCTGTGTTTTATTGCCTGGTTGCTAAGATAACAAAAAGGGCAGATTTTGTTTACAATTTCGTAATTAACCATAGCAGAAACTTTTTATATGTCACAAGGAATCTCTTACAGACAAGATTTTTGGAAAAATATCAATTGCTGTCTTAATAATACAAGGTTTCTATTCTGAAGTATTTTACAGGATGCGGTCTTCATTCTATAGATAAGCACTGTTTCAACCAGTACATGTTCCAGCATTTTAAAGGCAAAACATGATGCTACATCATAATGCTATCTTTCAAGTAGTACTCTTGATGGTCATGAAAAAATTATAATTGTATTTGAAGTTAAAGGTATTTCCTTCAACATCTCCAAAACTTTCTTAATGACAAAGGAAATTCTCATTTTCACATTTTCTTGAACATAGCAAATCCATGGTTCATGAAATTTTCAAAACGAAAATATATTTACAATTGTAATTAAAGGTTAAAGGTGCATTTTGTCTTGTAAACATCACAATGAGAAAAACTGAATTTGTTGTCACAATGGACCTTGATTTCAAAACTCATTGGTCATTTATTATTAACTAACTTCAAATAAAACTTAAATTACGGATATATTAAAGAAGAGAAACTGTATTTCTTTCCATGTTCCATGTGTGTCATGAAAAGCGTACATCTTACTTACGCAACCAGTGAATAAAAACTTTTTAAAAAATTTCAAATTAATTAATTCTTCCTTCTGAAAGAAGGTGAAAAATTACTTCGGTGGAATTTTAATTAGGATTTTCAATTCTTTGCATTTTTGTTTGAAATATGAGAAAATTACACGAGAAAGTTATAATAACCCTGAAAAGGATACTAGGAATTTATTATTAAAACATTGATCTTTAATGTGCAGAACATTTATTTAATTCTTTATAAGTCTGACATGAATATCCCAGAAAGTATTATTTATAACTCAAGAAATCATTATGTTGTATATTCTTGAATATTAGCCCAGGTAATATGGAGTTGGGCTGTAAAGTGCAGTCCCTAGTGGAACCAACTGCCAAGTGTACTGCAAACCACATATATAAATTACAAGTGTTATCTTAAATCAACTGAAATGCATGAAATTAGTGAAATACTTACATTAGTAGTATTTGCTCCAGGGTACCAAAAGTATAGGAAACGACGTTCACGCTATGAAAAGTTCAAGCATTAACACACACAATTATTAGTTAAAAGTAGTTTTTGTCATAAATAAGTAATATTTTATAAATGAATAAATTGCAACATAGTAACTTCAAAATATGCCCAATATTTTTTTTCCCAATTCTAAAGAAATAAAAAGAAGTACTTTTTGATCACACATTTTAGTGTAAGTTGGATGTACATACTAATACTATTCTTTAAAAAGATATGTCTACATTAAGAAAAATTTTGTAATTACTTACCGAATTAAGTGGCACAGCAAATGTTATATATAACATCCAAATTAGGGCAACAGTTAAAACTAGAAGATAGTGCATGGTTCTGCTTTCAAATGAACTCTAAGCCAAAATGAGATCTGCTGTAATGCAGAGTATTATATCTACTCTTTGTTTACAGTAATGGTAAGTCTCACAAGCTGCCATCGTTTGACACAGATGTTTACAACAAGTCTTGGCAAAGGCAGGTGCGATCAGCAGCTGTTCCATTACACTTCAGCAAACTAACATGTTGAAGCTGTTTTAGAAAGGGAACAGAAAGCAAATAAAACCACAATACTGATGTGTGAAAGAATCCTTTATATGGATATATTTCTTACATAAAGTGGGTTAATATAACAAAAATAAATTTGTATATAAAGTAAAATCTCCATATAAATTTGAGGAAGTAGGTTCATTCTGTACTTCCATTTTATTTGCACTGTTGCTTTTAGTTGCACCATTAAGGTACAAGGCTGACTTTGAAAAACAAATTGCACAGAGTACTTCTGTTCTCTCATTTGACTAGGAGTGACAAACATATTTAAACAATGACAAAAAATTGTTCATAAAAGGATAAAAATAATATGCTATACCTACAGTATTCCTAATGCAAGCGCTTCTACCGTATGGAGAGTTTACTATTAAATGTAGTACGGAATACATGTAATTCTGGCACAATAGGGCAAGGTGCATGCACTATGCAAAAGCACACAAATATAACTGCAATCAACTAATTAATATAGAAGTAATAATATGTACAGAACAATTGACTAGATTTCAAATATATGTATCAATGTTAAATAATACATAGAAACTTCAAATACACATGAAATTAAATTACATTCATGCAAATTATTAATATTCAACCATATATACAAACACATGGTTTTCGTTAGTTAATTCCTTTCTAAAAAAAAAAAAAAAAATAAAGAAAAGAAGAACAATTAAGATCCCTAAAAGATAAGATTTTATCAGTAGATACAGTAAATGTTCACTGTAACGTTGTCTTGAAATAATTATTGCACAATACATAATAAGCAGCACTAAGCACACTGCTCTTTTGGAAAATGAATACCAATGTATGAGAGCTGGTGCAGGAAATACTCAATAATTTTCTTTGCTAGGCAAGAAAAAGTCAGCAATGCAACCTTTTGAGAGACCCAAGCCAATTAAATCATAACATATTGAGAGTCCTCCATTTTCTCAAGGTCGGAGTCAGATGACAGGAGAGGTCCAAGGACAAGGTTGTTCAGACCATTGCGGACAAGATCCTCACTACTATTACTGGTGGAGAGACCACTTTTGTTGTGGAACAGCTGATCCCCAAACTCTGCTTCCATTTCATGACTATGTCTGAAATAGAACAGTAGTACTATAGCACGAAACGTGAATTTCGTTTTGAAACAAACTGTTGCCTAATCAAGATCTTTGGTATGTTTTTCAATACCTGGGTAAATGGATAAGCATAACAGTATTTTATATGAAAAACACAAAATGAACAGATTAATAAAAAAAGAAAAAAAAGCAAGATTCAGTATGACATTTAAAGATCAAGCTCCAGCACCATAAACAAGCAAGAACATTAATAAGCAAATTGTTAATTCAGGTTACAAATTACCAATCATATATTTACCTGCTTCTTGGCCGAGTAAGAGGGTCATTAATTGTTTTGTTGTCTGCTGTAATATTTTCTTCTTGATCTAGATCAGTTTCAGAACCTATGTAATTGTAAGTTACTTTTACACATCATCCAAAAAACAAATATTTGAACATTTTTGACAAAAGAAATTAATTAAAACACACTACCTGATGGATACATGAGAGCTCTTTGTATCATGTCTTCAGTGTAGAAAGAAGACAAATCATCAACATCTCCACTCATTCCATAAGCAGGCTCTTCTACAACACTGCTTTCAACCATTTCCAGCCATTGAGAATTATGCCAACGAAACTTCTCCAATTTGATTCTCTCTGCCCATTCCTTATTACACTCCTACAATAATAATAATAATAATAATAATAATAATAATAATAATAATATTAATAAATTATTATTATTTATTTCCAAAATAATTACATTGACAGTGTACTAAACCATCACCATCAAAACAATAAGAAAGAATACCAATTTTGCTTGACTACATTACATACATTACATCCTGTTTAACCTTTCAATAAAAATTCTGGTCTTATCAGATTTAAATTTAAATATATTTATTAAATTAATTTTATCTTATTCAGTACACTTCAAACCCTCTCTAAGTACTTTATGTACTTGTCAGAGAGGGGTGTGTTACATAGTAGGTTTGTTTTGTTTTGTTCGTTGTTTTTTTCTTTCCTTTTTTGTATTACCGTTGTTGATTACAGTTCACACATCATCTGTATTGTTTGCCAGTTACTGTATGATGTGTGAATTGTTTCTATTGAAATTTAGATTTTTTCCCAAGGAAACTCAACAGGCAAAAATAAATCAAAATTATTAAATTATCTAAAATAACAAATAAATTGTAAATAAACAAAAACAGATGTCAGTTGGCAACAGGCTAAAATGAAAAATAAGTTATACTTTTTTAACATTTTGAAAACTTGTAGTGACAAATCAACAAGCAAAGCAAAATAAAATTATCTAAATTAACAAATCAAGAAACAAATAGAACTTATAAGCCAAAGGGAAGCTGACATTAACACGAGTTGAATTGTCCAATTATAAATAATTAGAAATTAAATAATAGGTCACAAAAACAAAAATTAATTCATACAGTGAACAATTAACAAAACTGAATGAGAGTAACAGGAACATTTTACATTTTTTCAAACAGGCAAAAAGAAAACAAAATCATCCAATTATTCTCTAAACTAGCAAATGAATTGTAAATAAATTAAACTAGATGGCAATTGGCAACAGGCAAAAATGAGTATCAGGTTATACTTAATTAGCATGTTGAAGACTTGTAGTGACAAATCAAATCAACAAATAGTAGGACACACAAACAAAGCTTAGTCTATACAGTGACCAATTAACAATTGACAAAATTACTAGTTGACATATTACAATCAAACAACAACAACAATAATAATAGTAATAATAATAATATTTTTTGCAATATATTTGAGAAGAATAGCTAATATGTGTCTTATTATAATATCACTAATAAAGCAGGCTGATCTAAACAAAGAAAATATTGCAAATGCACCAGGAAATTGAATCTAGAAGAAAATAATGTAATAAATGTGAAAACAAATTACTTGCAAAACTGCTTCTATAGCTACATAATCTTTCCATAACATGCATGAAAAGAACACAGAAAATAAATGTCACTGAAGAAGAATTTGAAGTACTTATTCTCCTCTCTTCTTTGTAACTCTAACAAATCTGGTAATTAGTTCTTATTAATACTTACTGCAATGATCTCCAGACATGCATTGCAGATTTTTCGAATCTGGGCATTTTTATCGTGCATGAGATCTATGAGATAAGCAGGTGCTTCTGAAGTTTTTTTAAAGAAACATATAAGTAACTTTATGAAGATGTCAAAAATAAAGGTTTAAGTTTTCAGAATGTGTTAATAGTTTTAATAACTTAACCATTGTTTTCACTGAGTAGTCAAACCTGGCCAAAATGTAACATGACATCCCTTCAGGCAAAATTTATATAATTAATTCTTTTATATTTGCTTCAAACTTTTTTAACATAACCAGGGGAGCCAAAAAGTAATTAGAAAACATTGAAATTATATTATGTATTTGTTTATGCTAAACATCAGTAAAAACTTGAAATAGCTAGATGTGTACATGGTTCAAATAGGGTACTGTCCCCGTGTATGATATGAGCAACAAGCATTACAAAAACAATAAAAACGAAAATAGTTACAAATTTAAAAATATTTACAGGTTATAGAGCACTCCAGTTTATGTAATTGTATTTTATGAAATGCCACCAAGAATTCTGGGGACTTGGGAACTGGGTATTTCTTTCATATATACCTGGTATGCCCTTTTTCAATTTTTATCATGGTACATCAATGGGTTTTTACATTTTTTTTATTTTTATATTTTTTATTAGGGGGGGGGGAGTTAAAGCTCAATTTGAACAGTTGGACTGTTGGGAAGCCAAAACCTGCCTATCTACCAAATGAAGGGATTTTATTCTTGCTGGGTAATTATACCATGTGAATAGCACAAAGTACAGGACACGACAGATTAAATGCTGGAAACTACAGGCAACAAGAACCAAGGTGAATTCTATAGTTTTGTATGTTCCATACATACTAGAATTGTGAACCCATATGGTTGTACATCACCCTTTTGTTCTTTCCTGTCCCTTACAGTTTGAGGAACTCAACTTGATGCCTATAACCTTAAAAATTAAGTGTTAAATGTGATTGCAGTTGTAAAAATCTTGAACAGAGTTTTTGAGTTATACACAGTATAAAAAATTTCATGAATATTGTACAGCGCCTTCTTCTTCTTCTTCTTCTTCTAAGGCGCTACAACACTCTCTTGAATGTCATGGGTTGATCATTTTCTGCCTTTTATTTTCTTCTATTTTGAACCATCTCATGCCATTTCCTAATCCCTAGTCTCTTAATGTTCTTCAAAAGATCTTTCCATCTGATTTTTGGTCTCCCTTTGTTTCTTGCTGCTATTGAATACCAATTATAACTCTTCTTGACCATTCATTTATTTTTTCCCTTCGACATAGGTGTCCAAAACAGCCAAGCTGAAGTGATATAATGTGATTTGCTATGTTTTTACTTTCCCGTATATGAACGTATATATGGAGTAATGTATGTAGTATAGGGAAAGTTATGTAATGCTGTAAAAAATCGATTTTGAGATTTCAACAGAAATATGTATTTTGATGACCCAAGATACCGAAAAAAAAAAAGTTCTTCTATCTTTCAGTCCATCAGCCAGACAAACCTTTGAACACCACTAGTACCTAAACCATTCGTATACATTTTTTCAAAATGGATATTTCCGGGTCAATCTGGCTCGACTTGAAGGGGTATGATTTTGCAAAACTTTCTTCAAAATTTGGGGGTACTTTACATGAAGCTCCCCGGACATTATCAACATTTTCTCAAAAATCACTTGAAATTTTTTCTTTAAACTTTTGGTAGGGGTAGTGCTAAATGAACTCTATAAGATGACATAAACACCATATTGCTCCAATCCTTTATTTTTTCAAAAATTACAAAAAATTTTTTTTTTTTACCTGTCTCTCATTGCATTAATATTTATATTTGCAGCAATTTGTTCACATTATTATATTTATGAGTAAATGTGCTCTAAATAATGTCATAAAATTTCATGAAATCTCAAGTTTCCTGCGAAAACTAGCTGAAAATTCCACATTTTCAGAAACACACAATTGCACTCTTTAATATGACTAAGTTAATTTCGGAGTATTTTTTTGTTTTTAAAAAAATTACACAGATGTAATTTTTTTGAAAGATTTCTCATACTGTTTTCAGCAATTTGTAATCACTATAGTACTTGTGAGTTAAAGTACTTCAAACGATTTGTAATGAAACTCATTTTCTGTGAAAAAGAGCTTCAAATTTAGAATTTACAGTAGCGCTTAAAAAGGCTCCAAAAATTTCAAAGAAAATTGCCTTTTATTGACAAGGTTTTACTGTTCTTTAATATTCTTAAAATAATATTTCCGTTCCAAAATTAGGAAAACTAAAAATTAAGAAAATTTTAAAGAAATGTGCTTTGGGCGGCAATAGGTGGCAGCTGGCAAGAGTATGTGGCAAGTTAGTATAGCTAGCTGGGACCAAAGGTAATAGAAAACTAATACCCTTTAGGGTCCAGGTCTTTGCCACATATGTTACTATAGGTCTTATTGCAACTTTATAAACTTAGAGCTTTGCACCTTTTTGAAAGTAGCTTACTTCTGAATAGATCTATATTATGAAAGTAAGCCCTGTTCCCTGCATCAATCCTTTCAGTTATCTCGTCTTTAATTACATTGATCTTATTTACTCTTGAGCTAAGATACGTGAAGGAGTGTATTTCCTGGTACTTTGGATTATCAAAAATCTGGTGAGAGAGCTAGCAATAGAAATTATGTTGGTAGCATGAGCTGCAGCATGTAAAAAGTAAATTGCATACTCACCACAACCATAACAGATGCTGGAAGTGTTGTCCCCTTCACTTGTTTCCCAGTGATCTGGTTACTACCAACATAAATGCAATTTTTAATAGGAGGCTCTGAGCACACACAGTGCAGAGACACTTTCCTCGTGCTCTATGTTAATTGAAAAGCTGACATTTATCGATCAATATTTTCACACAGAATTTAATTAGCAGAAGTAACCTGGTATTGACAGGGCATTTATCTATCACAATCACCTATTAGTCAGGAAAAGGAATAAATCATCAGCCTACCTGCTATCCCCATCCCACTCTGCCCTGCGCACACCCATTCCACATTTTCAGTTCCCTAGGAGTACAACGTAAATATAACAGAATATTATAGGAAATGTCCTGCTTGTAAATTTTCATTGAAAAATTTGGAGCCAAATTTGATAAAATGTTGTTTGAGTGTTTCATAACACACGTCATTTTGAGCTTGTCTTAACAGAAAACGTTTGTCTTTTTGAGAAACTTCAATCAAAATCATTTGAAACATTTGTACTTACAAATGAAATATTAAATCAATGCCCATAATATCTGTATTAACAAAGTAAGAGACATTTAAAAAAAACTACATTTTTGTAATTTTTGATAAATCAAAAGATTACACCAAAATTCCCAGGAGTATTACACCAAAATGGTGTTTGTCATATTTTTCTGCCCAATTAGTACAAGTTAAAAGCAAACTAATATTTAACTAATATTTGCAAAAACTATATTAGACTTTAATTAAAAACCAATTGTGAAGAACACATTTCTTTTGAAGAAAAAAGTCTCTATTTTTTATAATGTAGTAGTTCAAGGGAGTCCAAAAAATTTCAAACATTTGCAATTTGAGAAAATTTATTGTTAACAACGAAAATTTCACGTGTGCCAACTCTGAGTGAATTTCAAAAATTCCTTCCTACAAGAAATTTAAAGAGAGATGTGAAGGTATTTTTGACAACATTTTCAAGAAGTCCCATGGGTTTCATATAGAGTACCTCTGAATTTTAAAGAAATGTTTTAAAAGTCACTGAGCTTAGAGTCAGATCAATTGTAGCCATTTCATTTTGGAAAAAAAAATCACAGACAGTTTATGCACTATTGTTCTTCACAGATGGACTGACTGAAGAAGAGGCGGATACAGACAGAAGTTTTTAAAAAAAAACTACGTTTTCGTTTTCAAGGTGCTCAAAACTTGTATTTCCATTAAAATTTTTAAATCGATTTTCCATATACAACTTTCTCTATATAATTTATACTATTCTGTTTATAGTAGTAGTAATATGTAGATTGCAAGCGATCCTTGGTGATCCTTTAAGAGGGTATTCAAAGCAGATGGTTTCCAGCCTCCGCTTCAAAATGTCTTTCTTTTTGTTGTCACCTCCTTTGTGAGTTTTCTCCAAGCGATTCTATTTTGCGACATATTCATTGCTTCTATGCATGTCAAGTTGGTTACTTTCTTGATTTGTTTATGCCATCTCTTCCATGTCTTTTAACTTCATTTATTACTAACATCAAGCCCTTCTGGTAGCTCACTGGTCAGCGTACTCGCTTCTCATGACATGATCCTGGGTTTGATTCCAGGTCACGGCAGATTAGAGTGTGCAGTTTCCTTGCAATGTCCCAGTATCTGTTGCTATGTGGCAATGAGAAAGTTTACTTCTCAATTCGAGAAGACCAGGTACGTATGGCATAGGGATGTCTTATGTGCTAACCACACATACCCCTTAATCCTTGCCTCAAGGACAGTATGCTGTCGGCAGGCCTTGGCCCATAAGAAGCTGTTGTGCCAAAGTACATACATACATTACTAACGTCATGTCCTTCTCCAAGGAGTCTAGGAGGAACTATATATATTCTTTCAGTCTAGCATGAAGAGCATAAAAAGATAAGACCAATGATATACATATTGTTGCATGTTAGATAAGCATTTTTTTGAGTAATTTTCATTTTTCTGTGTCTAGTGTTTAAGGGATATTTTGAATGTAACAGTTCGCCACACAAGATCATGCAGTGCTCCCCCAGCTAGAATGCACTCGGGTAAAAGAAGGGATTTTAGTACTTGACGATACTAAATATTCATCAAAGATTCTAACTATTCCAAATATTCACAAAACTTGCAGAGTGATTAGTTTCAAGATCCCATTTATATCTTATGCTCCTCCTTTACATGAAGTTGAAATAATAAACAATATTTCAATACATGCAACTTCTAACAAGTCAGTATTTACAATCCTTAAGTAATATAAACAATATGTAAATGCAGAAGAATGGAAAGCAGAGTTCAGGAAAAACTGCAACAGTTTTGTGAATATTTGGAATATGTTTAGTATCATCAAATACTAAGATGCCTTTCCTTACCCGGGTGTGCGTTAGCAAGGGGAATGGTGCGTGACCTTATGTGGCAGACTGTTACATTTAAAATATCCTTTGAACACTATTTGTAAAAAAATCAAAATTACTCAATAGAATACTTATCTAACATATGCAATATGTATATCATTCGATTCGTCTTTTTATGCTCGTCAAGATAGATTAAAAAAATATGTGTAGTTCCATTTGAAAAAATAAATTTACTTCTAATACCTCATAAAATACAAGTGATAAAATAGAAAAAAATTCACGTATCAATTAACCCGCTTGCCTCATGCACTTCAGCAGAAACTGCATTGCAATAACTTTAACCGTTCAAAAGTTATAGGAGGTACTGAAGTTACGTGGCTCTCCCTGTATAATATTACATTATACAGAATTATACATACAATTGATAAATCATGACCAACATACTATCATGGAAAGAAGCAGTATTTTTAAAACAAAATGATGTGCTACAAATTTAAAAAAAAAGTTCGTAATGATTAACTTTCTCATGATGGATTAAGAGGTTAAGAACCATTCTCAAAGTATACAGTAACAAGGTAAACATCTACTTTTCTATTTGCAGTAATAAAATTCTACATAAAGATGAAATAATTTCATTGTAGGAAAGGATACCAGTTTCTTTTATCAAATAATCTCGAGTAGCAACATGACGTGATATTTGATAAAAGACATAGATGATTTGCAGAACCATTTCATCATCTTCTTGCTTAGCTGTAAACAGTTTACAATTAAAATTTCAAAATTATTTTTCATCAATTTCAATGACAATTTTATATTAAAGAAAATATTATACAAGACTGCAATATCTGTTAACTACCTTTTAGAAGTTCAATAAGAGATAGCAATACATCAGCTTTGCAAAACAAAGTTGCACAGCCTTCGTCAGAAGCTGCTGTACCAAGCAAAACCACTACTTCCAAGACAAGATCATCTTCATGTTTTCCTAAAAATACAAACTTTAAGTATTCTGGCACACTTACATTAATGCTCTCACACTTCAAAGTAGATTTGAAGGCAATTTTTTACCTGGTACCAATACACTTGTAATCCATGGTATCATATTGAACCGTTGCATAATTTGAGAGAAATCAAGGTCAGGTATTGTCATATTTCCTAACACTCCAACACATTCCACAACAAAATCTTCATTCTCACATCGCACAATAGCTTGTGCAATATCACCAACAAATTCCTAATAAAACATTACATTCATTTTCAAATTTTATATCACAATTAAAAAAAAAGAAATGAAAGAAAGAAAGAGGATATTATCGAAACCTACAACAAAATTTTGTTTTGTTCCTTCATGTTGGGCAATATTTCGTATCATTTTCATAATTAGAGAATCTTGATTTCGAAATGCTCTTTCCATCAAACATTGCAAACGGTTATTCTCTACCATCATCTGAGCATTGCGTTTGTTAATTGCCAAATTAATGCAGAGTGCTATTAACTCCATGTGTTCCTCTTCTTCTGAACTTTCAAGCAACATGCTCATCACCTACATAACAATTATATCAGCAAATAGATCAAATTATATACAAAATTATTTATAGTGAAGATAAAGAAGAAAAATATTTTTTTCAGTACCATTGGAATGCAGTCAGTGTAAGTAAACATTGATTTGCATCTATCATCCATGCTAAGATGATACAAAATTTTCAGAACAATTATTTCATATCGCTGGTCAGCTGTAACAAAACAATGACAATGTACCTACAAAGGCAACAAATTTATGAGCAAATGTAGATTATACATTATCGTATACGTACATAGGAGACTGACTAATTTTGGAATGCTGCCAACTCGTACCATTCTCTCACGAAGATGAGTGTCAAATGATAGATTAAACAAGAGTTGCAAAGTGACTTCAATTACTTCAGGATTGTTTATCAACAATACTTTGGGGAGTTTTTCAACAACATTTAAATCAGCCTGAAATAGACAATACAGAAATATATTATATGCTCCTGAAAATATAAATAGCAGCATGCCATATCAGAAATAAAAAATGCAGTACGACATTACCATATCATCAACATTCTCTTTGAAAAGGGAAAGTTTCCTTAGAAATGTGACAACCAAATGAAGTAAATTTGCATTTTCTCTATCTAGAGTTTTTGCCAGCATTCCACAGATATTTTTTTTTCGCATTTTATCTTCAACTTTTGTATTTTCAGCCAAATTGAGAAGTAAATAAATAATTACTGAAAAAGACAAAAAAGCTAATGTTTTTGGTGTCAAAAACATTGTTACAAAATTTACAAAGCTAATATTCGAACAAACCCATGAACTAATCCAAGAAATATTTAAGTAAGCTACTTCGTTTTCACTATAAAGAATTGATCATGAAAAAGTTACAGTATTTAAATATCACTATTGTTAGTATGTTCAATTGGTTCATATGTAATACCTCTCAAAAGTTGGTCCTGTTTCTTTATTAAATTTTGAAGTTTAAGCTTCATTTTGTCATATTCTTCAGTTATTCTTTTATGTTCATCTTTGGGATCCATATTTCTCATAGAATTCGGAGAGAAAGCTCTCACTATTTCACTATGTCGCCTTCGATGGTCGTATACCTCCACTGGAGTGCTGATGCCTTCCATAGTTCTCCTCCGATTGTCTCCTGCTGCAATTGGTATATGAGAAATACCTTCCAAAACACGTCTTCGCACTTCATTATTGTTTTCTTGTCCTTTTGACTCTACCACCAATGATGTATTGTTATCTCCAGCAGCAGATGAGTTTTGCAAAATTGAACTGCAATTAATTTCACATTTCTTTCTTCGAGATTCTAATTCGTCTTTCCATTGATCATAACGTCGTAGTTCATAATCCAGAATTTCCATGCACAAAGAGCCAATCTACAAACATTAGAAGTGACACATTTATTAATTATATAATAAAATTCTTTGACTATTTCTTAAGATTAATCTTTAAATGGCCATATTAATGAGCTCAAATTTAATATATTTAATTTCAGTTTATAATGTTTATAGTAATACTCGCTTTGTATTGTAATACGATGTTATGAAACTGGCTGTACGCAGAAAAGCAAAAGAAGATGTAAACTATGTTTATACTGAGTTCTATACTTTTTTTCCAATCTTCCCGTAACACACGAGACAAGGCACTCAGAGCTGATTCTGCAAAACAAAATAAACCAAGTTTAAAATGTATCGTAGTATAATTAAATACAAAAACTTTAACAACCCACCATTATTTGCAAGTTCAACCAAGTTATCAGGTACTCTTGCTAATTGTAATATAAGGGCAGATCCGTTGACCTTTTCTGGAATGTCTTCATAAAGCAGTTCAACATATTGTTCAATATCGTTAATACTGACTTTCTCTGGAAGAATTGAATTAGAATTGGGGCCCTCTGATGAAGAACATGAAGAGCTTGGACGGGGAGACTCTCCACGTTCTGATGAAATACCTAGAGACGAGTACTATATAACACAACTAATAAACATACTACATGAATGACTAATAAAATAACAAATATGATTCATTACATATGCAAAATATTGGAAATAATATTAAAAATATGCATGAGTACTCAAAATTAAATGATTTGCACACAGAAACTGAAAAACTTAAAATTTTCTTTTTTCTGTGATGACAACGATCATACAAGCACATCTTCTCCAGCACAGTAATAAGTCTGATAACTCTAGATCCTTTCACCAACGCAATTCATTTTTTTTTTCTTAAAACAAACAATGAAAACTTGCCGTTCCCAGTGCTTCTTCTCTTCTGCAAATATGATATTAAATGTCTCACTTCTTCTAATTTATTAGGATGAATAAGACTACATTTCTCAACTACTTCTTTGGCTAGTGCTGCACAATTAGTAGTTTCGTTTAAACTTTTCAATCGAATTATTTTTTGACATTCCTAAAATTGAGATGACAAAACGAAAGGCATTCATAAATGTTCCTTTGGTACAATAAATTTACAATATATCATATGCTAGCAAAAATAGAAATAAAATCCTACAAATATTACATACTTTTCTGTTTCCTAAGAGTGGATCACCAAGATCACCAAGAATTAATGCTTCTAATTCATAAGTGACAACAAGTGCCTTTTCAGTTGGATGAACATCGATGGAACGTGATCTGATTTTTCTGAAATATGATGGGGAAAATGGTAAATTCATAAACCTCATAAGAGAGATAATATTCAACAAATTGTAAATTCTGAAATATTGACTCAGGAATATGTCAAAGTAGTAAAAAAAATTATAATTTCACGTATGGTAACCATACTCCTTGGTACAAAGAATACGAAAGAAAGAATACCGCTTTAAATATCTCGCATCATCAGACTGCATCACTGCATTGCCCAAATTTGGCAATAAATTTACACACTTCAGCCAAGATTAATCGAGAAAACTGACGAACTAGGAAAACCTTGGTGTTTTCACTGCCACTACAACTGACGGTTTGGTGACACTGGCGTTCAATAAAATTAATAGGATCAGTATTAACTTTCGAATGAAGCTAATTACGATCACGTTATAGCAAAGTTCGCGCGCTTCTATTCTTATGAAGGTCACGTTTATTTGCAAGGTTTCGATGAACGTTTACTCAAATCTCTTTCGTCGAGACCTGTCAGTGCAGGGTCATTATCTTACAAGTGTTGGGTACACTGCTTAAAATGGCCAGAAGCAGAACTCGTGATTGTTTTGGTCATCGATGTCTTCGGTGCGCTTTAGTGAAGATTAGTGTGTCGTACTGACAGACGCGTTCGGTGCAGAGAAAATAATTCGGAGCATTTTAGACATCAGATTCAGACCTGAATCTCGGTGTGTTCCGATTCAGTTTGTATTGTGTTCTGTGCTGTGGTGGAGTTAAGAGCTCTAGATCGCATGCGTGTTATGGCAGATGACGATATGATTGAAGAAACTAATCAGCCTCAGGATATTCGCGACAGTCCAGAAGATGATTTTGATGAGGAGAGTGATGATTCGGAAGAAGGTATTTATTTAGTAAATAAATTTGAACTTTACAGAAAATTCCAAAATTTGTGTCATATTTCTTTACTGCCGAATACCATTTCATTGTTTGTTTTTGCAGATTTTGAATCGCTTAATTTGCAGCTTGATCAGTTGAATTCAGCTCTTGATGAATTGGAACAAAAAAATGATGATATCCACGCCCAACTTATTTTACTACTTCAGTCAAATAGGGAAGCAAGACAACAGATACAAGATTCTTTGAAGAATCAGGTACCTTCATAAACTGTCCAGAAGTTATATATTGATAGGTTCAAATCATTCCTTGTATAGAAATAAACTAGTTGGTGGGTGGGTGATGTTATTGTTTGGAAGTTAAGCAACATGGAGTTCCTGGAAAGACACCAAAACAAAAATCATTGTTAAAATATATATCAGAATGTTATTATTGGATGTTTGGATTGCTGTGTGAAAACAGCATTACATTTTTTTTCTGTACTTATAATTTTAGGAAATAACTTGAAGAAAAGTTGTTGAAACTCGATGTTTGAGACTTATTTCAAAAGTCAAAAAAATTGGAAAGGATTATTGCTTATGGAGTGGTCGGATAAGTATGTATTTCTAGAATTAAGTTATTCCAGCTGCTTCTAAAACCTATGTGAAAATTAGTGTGTATAATATGTAAAAATGTATGTATGTAAAAAATAAAATATTTTGAAAGCAAATCTTTATTTTGTTCAATAAAATGCTTTATGATGTTGCAGAAAAACATCATTTGAAACATTCCATTCCTGCTGCCCACAGAAGCAGTTCTTTAAACATATCACAATTGACACTTTCTATTATTGTGCTATTGTGGTCATTTTTCTGCAAGTGATCAACAATAGCTTGGCCTCTAGTACCATGACCATGTAATTCAACAGACAGGTGGCACTTGTGACTTTTAGATATAAGAGATGGTCTCAAGAATACAGCAACTACTAGTGAGTCACTTGCACTCCATTGTGTGGGTTTCTTCTTCTTTTTTTGGTGTAGGCTTCTCTCCACTGTGTTAAGTAACTGTACTTGAGGTGTTGTCAGTTTGCCTAGCACTTCAAATCTCCATTCCTACAAAAACAAAATAATCAATTAATGTTTCTTGTGAATTTTGAATACCCAGTAGTGTGAACCAAAATTTTTTAGTATATAAAACATGTTACAAACTAATGATTCCTGACATTTGTAATTGTATTTAATCTGTGACTTAGCCAAAAGTGCCATCTATAAATAATGGTTCTTCAGACAATAAAAGTTGCATAAATACAACTCAAGCACAATATGACAAGCGGTACCAGAGATAGACGAGTTTCCAGAGATGCTTCCCATGGAACTATTGTTATCGGACATTGAATGGAAGACAGAACAATCTGAGCAGCTTCAGGATCAAAATAAAAGTTGAATTCAGCTGCTGATGTTGAGTTCCCAACTCCTAAGATATATAATAATTTTTATAAGTTTCTGTAAGCTGAGTACCTATAAGAGCAGTCTCTTTAATAAAAATAGTACTTACCTCTGTAGTTACCACCCATTATAAAAATATCTTTTAGATTTTGAGCAAATTGTTTATAGGTTCTTATTGCAAGGGCGACATTTGTTAATGGGCCAAGACAAATTAAAGATATTTGTCCTAAAGAAAAATACATTAATGATTATATCGTGGAATTTTTTTTTTGATTGTTGTATGGAAAATTTACCTACCTTTCTTTTCATTTGTAATTCTATTGAGATATTCAATTGCATTTTCTCCCTTTATCAAAGACACATCAGGCACATCTGGAAAATCTGCATCTCCAAAACCATCATACCCATAATACCCGGGAGAAGTTTCTCCTGTAGGAGCCGGTGGAATCAACGGCCCATCAGCTCCCACAAACACTGGAATCTTAATTTATTTTCATAAGTTGGGATAATCAAACATGACTCATTTGTTATTGAAGTGCGACATACATCAAGACGATTTGCGGCTTGTAAAGTGCGGAGAACGTTTATTTTAACGTTTTGAACACCTGTATTTCCAGAAACGCACGTAACGGCAAGGATATCAATTTCATTGTTAGCGTCGCCAGCAAGGAGCAAGAAAAGAGCCATGGCATCATCCGCTCCAGCATCACAATCCACAATGACCCTCATCTTTGATTTCATGCTTTAATAAACAATTCCCTTTGTAATTAGAATATGATTTTCAAGTAATATTAGTATAGGCACTGTCAGTAAATTGAATATTATGTATACTGACCAGTTTCCCCTCGTCCCTTGGTGTAGTCCTCAGAAAGAATGACCGACAATAACGTACAAGTGGACTATAGAATGAGGTTTCGTTTTTAGTTCTCATGATAGCGTCGACCTTGGGAGGTATACGCGAGATTACATTACGGCAGCAACAATTTGCCTATCTTATCGCCAGCATACGGCTGCATCAGTTTGCCAGGCAAACTTTGCCTACATATTGTTGGGGCACGCGCGTAACGAGGTTTAAGTGGTTACTGTAGTGGTTTATTACAGTATTTGATGAGTTGGTCTAAATTTAGTTATTTCATGTGAAAAAGTATTGTGGGAAAGCTGCGCAGAAATTAATTTACTATAGGATGGGAGAGCGGGAATAGGCCTATTAACTTCGTAGTGAGGTACTCTCAGAAGTCAGTCAATATTAATAAAAAAAATTGTCACAATGCAGCACAAATCATCGAATATTCCCAAAAATTACATCGCAGCAGCAACTCCAGTCACTGGGTGATTGAAAATTACTAGGTTTATAAGAGTGGATGGGGCACTTGTTAAATTCTGGTCAAACTACCGTTCATGATTATTCTCATGTAATCATGGGTTAAAGTTCCACATTACCAGAGAAAAAAAAATAATACTAATTCCGTAGTTGAAATACGTCAAAATTTGTAGAAATGTCTGTTACATGCCTAATTCCCTCTCTCCTTTGGTTTTATATTAAAAAAAATCCCTGCCTAGTCAGGTTACTTATAGGAAAATATTTTGGCTCCATCAAAATTATTTTCTTAATTTTAATTATTTTTTTCTATTTGCAGATTAACGTTTGCTAGTTAAAGGAAAATAATTAATAGAAAACAAAAAAAGTACAAAATGATGCTGTTAATGTATATCTTGTCAGTATACATTGGGTGTACATTATTAGTATATTTGATTCTGCCAGTTCCCTTCACGGATGTTTCACCAATCATTCGTCAGAACGTTCGCCGGTGTCGACTGTCGGGGACGCTCACGTATCGCGCGTCACATCCGGTTGCGCACTTTTGTTGTTCGAGAGCTGGAAACGCCATTTGTAATCGCAGTTGGTAAGTTCAGTCGTATCTGTTAATTTCTTGTTCATCTACTTGAGAAGGTAATTCAATTTTGTATATCATGGTTCACAAAAAGTTTTTTATTATTCTGGTAAGCAAAAGTTACCTCTCTGTTTCGTGGTAACGTTAAAATAGAATTTTTAATTGTGAAAATTGCCGGCGTAATTCTGTATTTATGGTATTATGGAATTTGAGAAAAGATCTCCTTCCTATGTTTCGTGTAATGTTTCCAATATAACGTTGTTGCAGACCTTATTGTAAGCGGCAGAAATGGCTGATAATGATGATCTTTTGGATTACGAGGATGAGGAAAATCCCGAACAGTCCGTTGTGGACGGGACTGGGGATGCGACTTCCAAAAAGGAAGTTAAGGGTACATATGTATCTATCCACAGTTCTGGTTTCCGGGACTTTCTTCTAAAGCCAGAAATCTTGCGAGCCATTGTAGATTGTGGTTTTGAACATCCTTCAGAAGGTTTGTAGCAAATACTTATTTCACATTGCCCAACTGCGTATGCAATTGTAATTTGCATTTGTTTTTTGTTTAAATAGTGTAGTAAGTGGTTGCGTAACACTCAGCATCTGTTTATTTTAATTTACACCTTAACATGTTGTATATTTGTTTCAAGGTCAGTTTGAGGGATTGAATTGTGTATTATTTTGGAGTAGTTGGTTTAAATAAAACAGTTTGATTGTTAACGAACTTGTTTCTAAATGTAATGTTTCTGGATACAGAAATATTCAGGAGTACAGAAGAGTTTCTAAAACGTATGGCCAAGTGGAATAACTATATTAAAAATACTGATTGTTCTCTAGTATATTTTAGTAATTGAATTCTTACATACAGTGGTATTCCTTATATCATAGTCGTAACAAAGAGTTTTTGGGGCTATTTTTGCAGTTTCTTAATAACATTGAAGCGAGCAGAGTGTAATTAAATCACTTTCTTCACAAAACACTTGGATTTTTTGCACCCAATTTTGCATATTCATTTCTTCTTTGGATCTCATTGTTTTTACCTTAGGACGTGTACATTATACCCCTAAGTGTTCAGGGCCAGACATGTTTTGCCAATAAACCCGCAAAAGACTGTCCAACTTACGAAAGAATTTGATTCCTTATGCTCCAAGAAGCAGAAGACAAATAGTTATGGTTAATTAGGAAATATTCTGTATTGGGAAGCAGTAGTGAATATGTAGGATGTTGATATCAGGACGTATCTGGGGTGTTCTGTTTGGATTTGAACAGTTAGGGATAAAGTTCAGGAGTGGGAAGAAACCTCACAGTAGTGTGTAAAAGAAGTGCAAATAATACATTTAAAGAATTAGTAAGAGTTTAAATTCTCAGAAAAGCTTCTGGAACTTTGCAGATGAAGTATAATTAATGCCTTCTTCTTTTATTTTGAAAGGGTATTCCAATTGGTCATTTACTAGGTGTAAAAATTTTAAAAATTGCTTTTTCAGTGACAAATATTTGTTTATTTTTAACTTTTTGCAGTTCAACATGAATGTATCCCTCAAGCAGTTCTTGGTATGGACATTCTGTGCCAAGCCAAATCTGGTATGGGAAAGACTGCAGTGTTTGTTCTAGCCACATTACAACAATTGGAACCAACTGAAAATCAAGTATACGTTCTTGTTATGTGTCATACAAGAGAACTGGCTTTTCAGATCAGCAAAGAGTACGAGAGATTTTCCAAATATATGCCTCAAACAAAGGTAAGATGTTTTGCGTGTGCCACAATTGAATTTTAAACTGTAATTGATAAGGTTTGATTATTTTTCCCTATTGTATAAGAACTTCTAAGAATTGAAGTGATTTGGGTTCTTGGAATTAAGTGAATAGTTGAATTATCCTTTACCATGTAGGGCGTATGATGAGGGAAATTAAAATGCATGGGATGAGAAAAATAAATACTGTACACGGAAAATGAATTTCTCTGAATTTATTTCTCCGCGTTTGTTGCTAAGCACTTACACATTTTAAAGTTGTTATATACCTTCCCACTATATCAACTTCTGAGAAACCGCTGGAAGATAAATATTCTCCACTTTTTATTCCCTCCTCCACCTATTTTCTACTTTTCATATTATTAAAATTGAAATTCCATCTATACATAATAGGAAATATAATTCGAATCAGTCTTAAATTAAATTTCATTATTAAACTGCAAATAACCCAGATTTACAGAACAAATGTCGGAAACATTTGATGTGTGAAAGTAACAGGATCAAATTGTAATGCGAGACTGGATGAGAAGAGTTCACCAAGGGCAAGGTGTCCTCGGTTTAAACTTCCCTGAAGTAGTTTAGTGTTGGTGACATTTCAAAATTTCTTTGTGCAATGCAGAACGTGCTGGTGAACGTGAAGAGACTAAAGTCTCTAGTGTAATTTTATCCCCAGTCATTCCATCTGGATTTTGTGGTAGCAAAGCAAGTCCTTGACTGGCTACATGGGTTCTCCAAATGTCCCTACTTCTCATGCCACCGTATCTCCCTTGTTTACCTAATTTTTTATATTACTGTCTTCTACCTGTTAATCACTCGTGAGGCTTCATAAGTTGTTCCATAGCTTGTGCGCCAGTAAGTACCCTATTTATTTGAATATTAGTTGAACTCTAATTTTGAAGAGGTCTCGTGAGATTTTTTCCTTTCTCGCCCTACAAATTTATCCTAAGAGTAAACGCCAAACTTTTATCAGAAAAAACCTTATTACTGGGTTTGGTGACAAGAAGGGAGATACATCCTGTTGCTAAAATAAAAATCCTCTAACTCGTGATATAGCCAGAATCCATGTAAGGAAGGTTCTTGATATTGAAAAATTGGTGTCAGTCTGTGGTCAACGCTAGTGGCTAAACAGTTTTTCCTAATTTTTCTAAACTTTGTATTCCCCAATTGACTCAATGCCCTTGACCCTGGAATTCGAGACCAATATTTTAATTTTGGCAGTTACTTCACATGCGTCTTGGATATTTCCAAAATTTTCAAGAAATTGCTCCAAATTTTTTGATTTGATATGATTTTTTTATTTGTTCAATAGTGCAAAAGGTGTTTAAGAGAATGCTGCAGGTATTATATTCAGTGATATCCCCAATTTTTTAACAATTGCAACAACAAAAATTGGGCTTCAAAAATTTTCAAAAAAAAATTTTTTTCCCTTCAAAAACTGCTCCAAATTTTGACTTTGAATTTTCTCCACATATGTAATAAGGGGCGATTTGTGCTCATCCCATTTTTTAGCATTGTTATTTTGAAAATTACAAAAACATTTCAAATTTGAAGATAGAGATTTTTGTATCAAACAGTTTGTTGTTCAAAAGTAGCTATTTAAATATATAAGTGAAAAACTAGTGGTGCTACAAGTCGCACTAACTTTCTCATTGTAATCAATTTTCTATTCTCTCTACTTTGGCTAGCTTTTCCGTTATTGCTTTCTATGTCTCCCAAAAAACAGATTTTAAAAATTTTCTTAATTACTTGGCTCCACAATGGTAGAATTGAAACCATTCTATTATAGAAGTATTCATTGCATGTTGTTACTGGATAGTGGAGGTGGGTAATTAGCAGATAAAGCTATAGCTCTTCGGAGGGCAGGTGTGGTGGTTAGTCTTGGTGTGCGACTATTTTTTGTGACAATTCCGTGTTGTTGAAGGAAATAATTGATAATTCTAAAATCTTTGTTCAAAACGATTTGAAACCATTCTAATCACAAATACTATTAATCAGGATAAATAAACTAGAAGTTGTGATTTTCGAATTTTCAATTTTTAAACAATTTTACACATCTATTCGATTTATAAAACGTATGAACCATCAAATCAATTATCTTTTGGCGCTTATGACTATTACAGAAGTGCTGATTTTCTGTAAAACCAGGGTGGCCGAAGTGGTTAAACGTCATGCTCACACTCAACAGCAGGAGGGATGGGCTGCTGGCTCGGGGATAATTTTTTGTCACAACTTTGTTATTAATTTGTAGCAATTCTGCTCACGTATACAATCTATTAAAATTCTAAATTAAGTGGAAGTGTCTGTATATAATTTTTATATTTTTAAATTTTAAATGAGTTTACAACTTTCTTGTTCTATTTGTAAAACTTACCTCACATCAAATCAATTGTCAATTCAAATCAATATATTATTGCAGAGCGTTTAGAAACATTGCAAGAAAGTATAGCAGCACCATTAGTTTTTATTTTTGTCTAATTGTTCTTTCTATCACAATAAAAACGAGTATTACCGACTAAAAATCTTTTTAAGTGATAAATCTTAAGTTTTACATTTCCAGTTGCTGTTTTCTTCATTTTTTTGAATCGGCATAGTCACCACTGTCACTACTTTATTCATCTTGTATTATTTATTTATTTTTGGATATGGTGACCTTTTTGAAACCCTTCACAATTGATTCACTGTAGATCTTATTCCAAACAGTTGCTATCCATTCTCCAAGCTTGAGGTGTGCCAAGAGTGAGGACATGGTTTTCTTGGAAGTAAGTGTTCATAAGGTTGTCAGAGACTATCCTGGAGTTGTTTGTTTACAACATCAATCATTTGAAATTGAGGATTCATCCCTCCAGGAGGTATTACTAGCTTTGTGTTGCTAATATCAGTTCCCTAACTTCTTCTGATGTGCCCCTTGAATGACCAGCATTCCTCTCTTTTTCAGCAAATAGCTTGGTTTTATTTTCAAAACAACCTTCAACCAATGAAGCATCAATTGTTGATCATCCACCATTTCTCTTGCCATCTGAAAACAATTCCTGTTGGCTGTTTCTCTTTTGGCTTTGTGTTTTTTCTTTCTTTTTTCTATTTTCTGGGCAGAAAAGCATATGGAGGCAGCTTCCTGCCATTAGCCAGAGCGGTATGTAGAAATAAATGTATGTCTGGTCAGAGTTGCTGATTTGAAACCAAAATGAATGAACTTTTCCCATTTTTGGTCTCCTAAATGTTTTACACGGTGGAATTGCGTTAGCTAATTTGTCTTTCATCTGATGCCACCTACAAATATTTCTTTGTGTGCTATCTCAGCTTCTATCAGCATCATTCGTATTGTAATGTATGCACGTACCGGTTGTAATTGTGAACATGAAGATCCCATTACCTTCACAGAATTTCAGCTGTGACTTACTCTCCTTTTCTGTTGTGTTAAACTTACAATGTCATGCGACTGATTTCACTTAAAATAATATTCGTCTGAATCAGAATGGCTCATCCGCAGTGAACACACTGAGAATGTTCGGATATAGAAAAAAGTATTCAACACCTGCGTGTCTGAAACACAACTACCCAGGTTTGGACTGCAAGTCTGCATACCTGAGGGCAAGGAATCATTTCAGTTTCATCACTACTAGATTGCAGTCAGGAGTGTCTGAGGGGATAGATAAACAGGCCTTGTTATCCCTTTGCAGCATATTGTTTTGTTAACTGGTATTGCTTGCTTGTTAGGAAAGAAATATTTGGAATGATTTTAGTTTATTTTTGAATACATGTATAATACATTTTTAATTATACTTAATTTACTGGATTAAGTACACCCACATTGATAGGGACAACTGATCTTATCAATGTGGATTTTCACTCTTATATCCTTCCTGAGAGAGAGAGAAGGATATTGGAAGAATCTTGCAGATGTTGAAAACTATGCATTTTCTTACATGCATTCAACCGAGTGAGCACAGGATTGGCTAATTTTATGCAACTTTCGTTGAGTGTCTTTAAGTGATTATTTCCTCATATGCATTCCCATGTACACTGTAACATATGTAGTATAGAGTATGTAATGCTGCAGATAATCATTTTGAGATTCAATATTAATAAGTTTGGGGTTTTCCTATTGATGGATATATTTTTTAAATTTATTTTTTGTTTTGTTTTTCTCACCATTCATAACATCTGACAATCTGTGGAAAAATCACATTATGTTTGCATCGTCTTGTGCGAGTCAAAGAAAAGCAATTTCGAAAAACTAATGAATTATTGTTGCTTGTCCTCTTGAAACATCTTGAAGTGTAGGGTAATCCACTGTCTCCCATTCATAAGAAAGTCATAAAACCTTGGATCTTGACTCAGCATAAAAGTCTGAAGACTGTGTGTGACATGTCTAAAGGAGGCTACAGGATGAATACCAGATAGGGACATCTGATATCATTGAGGCTCTATATGCTGATGACCTTCCTGGAAAAAACTGGGTTTGACATAGTTTTTATTAATTGTCAGTGTGTGAAATGTGCAACAGCAGCCAACTTTCTACTGTTCTTGTTGTACTTATTGTTTCAAAACACTAGTTGTGCAAATATTGGAAATTTGAATGTATTAATTTTCTTACATACAACTGAGTGAGCACAAGGATGGTTAATTTAAACAATGGTCTGTGAACAATTTTAGTACTCATCCACTTAACTTGATTCAGAGGCATATCAGGTAAGATCACATCAGAGTAAGATCCTCTATCTATAAATGGTACCATCTTAGCTCCAATAGAATGCACACAGTGTCTTCAACTATGCCAAGTGAATGAACATTATTTTATGACGCAAGTTAAGGAATGGATTATCCTGCATAATGTTCAAATAATTACAACAGTAATCATATTTTTTTCTAGATCATGAGTTGGTCGGAAGAGATAAGACAATAGGGAATAAATTTGGAAAAATCTGGCAAATTGTTTC